CCCAATCATAAATAATGAACACTCCCTAAGGGAACAGCTGATCTGCAGTACTATAAACTGTACAATATAGCCTAACAGCTACTATTTAGTTGTTATTAAGGTAATTCAGCTATACACAATTTACTCTAGACATTCATAAATACATGGTCGAAAAATATCAGATAGCTTTAATTAATATTAAGACAATTAACATTCTGATGGAAGTCACTTTGGCGTGATTGACATTTGACATGCATATAAATAACAATTGAAAGAATTATATTAATATTATTCATCAGGCGATATATATGGACGGTATAAAGACTTAAAATGAATGTTTTATATCAATTATTTCTCGCATTTGTGACTTTTTGGCGCACATAGAGAACACTAGAAAAGGACCAGTAGATTGATAACAAAATCACCGGCTTAGTTACTGCGCTTCATGCAATTCAGAATTTGTTTGTTTACATTTGAATTCAATTACTGAATTAGTGAAAAACACAACCAAACAGAGGACAATAATGAAATTTCTACCACAAGTTTAGCGTAACATTTACTTTAATACAGTGAAATCTTGAGTTTGTCCGATTAGTCCCACATGCTTATTTCCCTCGTCGAAAAGAAGACACATCCGAAAATTGCCGCAATTTAAATCGGTATTTTTAACGTCTGACTAATTATAACGGGCTATTATTGCTAACAAGAATTCTTTGAAGGCTTGTTTTTATGTGTAGATATCATGAATGTACCTAGTCAGATATTTACCAAGATATTATAATTCAAATCTACGACGAATTTGTATTTTTTCCATTCTGCCAGTATGTTGATCCCCCGTTATTTACGACATCCTTCATCACATACATTAAACGATGTATTGGTTTAGAAGAGCAGTCTCAGATTTACTACTCTACCAATTTTTTTCTTAATATGTTGAGTGATAAACGAGATATTGATGTGCGAATTATGCCGAAATTACAAATTCTGTCAAAATGGCGACTTCCGCCATTGACAATCACGCAGTGTTTTGCTTATATTTCCTGAAATACTTAATGTCATCTAGCAAAAATTCACACAAATTCTAATTATATAATGATCTAAAAGTGTACCAAAAATCAACTAAATCTGTAATGCTTGTGCAGGAAGTTTAGTCGATTTGGCTTGGAATGACCCTCAAGTCAGTCAAAAATCTATTTTTCATAGATTTGTACATCATCTCATATCTTTCTTTATGTAAATCTTCGATGCTTGCAAGACTAATACCTTTGTCTAAAAGTTGTTCGCATAAAAAAAGTAAATTCTTAGTCACACCAGATTTGTGACTTGTTATAAAACAAACAAGAGAATCTGGAATATGTTTTACAATGTCGGGATCACATGCAACGACCTCTCGATGTCCGTTGTCACAATTATACAGTTTACTTATAAGCACGATTGGACTACCAACATCATGCAATAGATTCGCTTAAGATTTCCATTCTTCCATTGTAGAGAATCGGTGAGTTTTGCTTGAACTCCATCTCTTAAACAAAGCAGACAGAGCAGTCGTATTATCCCACTCTTGAAAAATGTCGAAAATTGATTTAGCGGATCAAATAACATATAGGGCAAAGCAAAGTACAGTGCTGTTGAATGACTCCAGGCAGGCGACGGTGTAGGATGCTGTATTTCTTTAACAACTGGTTGTTGAAGCGCTCCTGCTCCTACAGATTCGCATTCTCGAAAGCTTCTCTGAAAATCTTTTTTGTTTCTTCGTCAATTTCGTAACAATTAGCTCCAACCACCAACAAGGCATAAAGGAAGATGACGTTCATATTTTTTTTTATGCAATATTGTTCCCTGACACAAAACCTGTCTAAACCGTGGGACGACCACATGTTATTTTTAGACACAGTCATACAATATGATTGACAAGTGTTGTAGATTTCATTGCATGAAAATAAATACGAAAATATAAAGATATTCATTTCTTGTTGGATTATTTGTTTTTATATTCTCATTAAGGTAATTCTGCAGTAATTGTTCCCGAAATGAGAATGTGCTGAAACTTCCCAGGCATGTAGTTTATGATATACTTAAAGTAAAATAACACAAAAAAGTCGGGGTCACCGAACTCGTTAAGAAGATATGACAATAAACCTTTACCCCCAATATGGCACTATCTTGACGCTTATTACGAGTAACAGCAAAATCACAACAGCCCGATATTTATTGACGTGTATAGCGTGAATTTTGCTTTAGTAAATTAGCTATCTTGTAATTATTTTTGAAGAATGAAACTAATAACGACGTGTACAATTATGACCCACAAATGTCTTTTCCACATTTCGTCACATATTTTTCTTTGAGAACATGCATCGAGAAAGGATTTTTTTCAAGATCCAGAAATGATTTTAGGATATGAAATGTAAATTGTATTAAAGAAATAAATTATTATTTAAAAAATGGGGGTCACCGGTCTTTTTAGGGAAGTGTGGCATTAAAGCGTGAAATACAAGTAAATAAATATACTGCAGACACAGGGAACTCTATCTACACTTTTGTATGGCTTTTTTGAAAACATTGATTTTATAACGTATTCTTTGCACAAATTTGCACATTTGAAGTAACATAAAATGATCATAAAAGGATTTTTTAAGGCCTAATTCCACGACGAGCAAAATGCTAAAAAGTTCGCACGAAAACACACTTGGGCGAAAATTTTCTCTCATAATGATTCCAAAGAGGGGCCCTGGAAAAATATGAAAAGTAATTGTACTTTATCTAGCTTACTCAAGATAACTAGATTACTAAAGATAACTAGATTACTAAAGATAACTAGATTACTAAAGATAACTAGTTTACCAAGGATAACTAGATTACCAAGGATAACTAGATTACCAAGGATAACTAGATTACCAAGGATAACTAGATTACTAAAGATAACTAGATTACTAAAGATAACTAGATTACCAAGGATAACTAGATTACCAAGGATAACTAGATTACCAAGGATAACTAGATTACCAAGGATAACTAGATTACCAAGGATAACTAGATTACCAAGGATAACTAGACTACCAAGATACTATACTACCAAGATACTATATTACTAACGATAACTAGATTACCAAGATAACTAGATTACCAAGGATAACTAGATTACCAAGGATAACTAGATTACCAAGGATAACTATACTACCAAGATAACTATATTACTAACGATAACTAGATTACTAAAGATAACTAGATTACTAAAGATAACTAGATTACTAAAGATAACTAGATTACCAAGATAACTAGATTACTAAGGATAACTAGATTACTAAAGATAACTAGATTACTAAAGATAACTAGATTACTAAAGATAACTAGATTACTAAGATAACTAGATTACCAAGGATAACTAGATTACTAAGGATAACTAGATTACCAAGATAACTGGATTACTAAAGATAACTAGATTACCAAGATAATAATATACATAAAGATATTACTCGACTGCGATTGGGTGATTTCAGTGCAGTTAATCCCAAACAGCAGTGCAATTTTCTGTAATCACATTGCAATTTTCTGTAATCACAGTGCAATGTTTTGTAATCACAGTGCAATTTTCTGTAATCACAGTGCAAAAATCTGTAACAAACTGATCTGATTGGTGGAAAAACATTGTGATGATTAAATCAACCAATCAGTTTAAAGCATTTTAGTTTTAAAGAAGTAACGGACACAGATTGCTTCAAAACAAAACAAACATGGCGCCGCGCTACACAAAGTAAAAGTTGCCTTCGCGTGGAAAATATGGCTTTTATCTTTATTTTTAAATGGAAAAGCATTTACCTTAAACAAGACTAACAAAAAATACACAGTTGAGTGGAATTTTCAAGCTGTTAGCATTGTATAATGTGATAGGGCGGAGCCAGGAAAACTTTGCCAGTGGAATGTTCGCTATAAACGCGTAAGTTAAAACTACAATTGTCTCGAACATTTTTATGTAAATTATTAATAAGTAATAGCATGGTTTCTCGTGAAATTTGGATAAAAATGCACTCATGAGTTTTTCAAAGACCTCAAATAGCACTCGTGCATGTTATATCCAAATTGCACTCGAAACCATGCTATTACCTATACTAAGTAGATTACTAACGATAACTAGATTGCAAAGATAACTAGATTACTAAGGATAACTAGATTACTAAGGATAACTAGATTACCAAGGATAACTAGATTACCAAGATAACAAGATTACCAAGATAACAAGATTACGAAAGATAACAAGATTACGAAAGATAACTAGATAACCAGGGATAACTAGATAACCAGGGATAACTAGATAACCAAGGGATAACTAGATAACCAGGGATAACTAGATAACCAGGGATAACTAGATAACCAAGGGATAACTAGATAATCAAGGGATAACTAGATAACCAAGGGATAACTAGATAACCAAGGGATAACTAGATAACCAAGGGATAACTAGATAACCAAGGGATAACTAGATAACCAAGGGATAACTAGATAACCAAGGGATAACTAGATAACCAAGGGATAACTAGATAACCAAGGGATAACTAGATTACCAATGGTTAAGTAGGGATTATTGGGATGTATATAAGTTAGAAGGGTATATTGGTGACATATCCCTAACCATATTTCATGACTGCGTGACATGAAAATATAACCCAAAATTGGCTCCGAAGCAAGCTAAAACAATTCCATGACTGGAACTGTGTGCCGCGGTTCTTGCAGTTAAAGCAGTGAAATGGATTACACGTGAGCTCAAAATGGACATGGACAAAATTGTTTTCTACACTGACTCAAGGATAGTCCTTGGTTATATCCAAAACGAAAGACGTCGGTTTTTCGTTTACGTAGCGAACAAAACCCAGACAATTCGACATATTTCAGATCCTACTCAGTGGAAATATGTGGACTCCACAGAAAATCCAGCGGATATAGCAACGCGAGGCAAACCTGCGAAAGACCTAATGCATTCATTTTGGTTTACCAGTCCTGAATTCCTAAAGAATCCTGATTCTACCAATTCCTCTTCTGAGATAATCGATGTCGAAGTTTTTGAGATAGATGAAAAGAATCCTGAAGTTCGCACTCAAATCACCACTTATGTTACCGGACATTCTAAAGCTCAAGGATTAGGATCAAGCCGATTTGAAAGGTTTTCCGAATGGTCCTCACTACGTAGAGCAATATCGAATTTGACCATCAGAATAAAGTTATGGAAGACTGATCATCATCTACTTACTTTAAAAGAAATGTCTCAACCTTCCAAGCAACTAACACCACAGAGACTCCTGCCATGTCCTACTGCCGCAGAACTAAAACATGCAGAGACCGTGATGATCTTAACTGCACAAATGGGAGAATATTCATCAGAAATAACGGCACTTCAACGAAATCCACCTTCAGGCATTTCCCCAAAGTCTAGTTTATACCATCTGGACCCATTTATCGATCAACATGGAATCCTTCGCGTCGGCGGACGATTGAGACAAGCAGAACAAATGTTCGAAGAAAAACATCCTGCTATTTTACCAAAGGGGAGTCATCTGGCCAAGCTAGCAGTTCTCCATTACCATGGAAAAGTGTACCATCAAGGAAGACAGATAATGCATGGGGCTATCAGACAAGCAGGGCTATGAATCGTTGGAGCTAAGAGGATGATTTCAAGAATAATTAATCAATGTGACATGTGTAATCAGCCAGGACGGACGTGTATTTTTTGCTCCGTCAATAACGAATTCTGAAATGCCTGAGACTATCAAATCTCTTAAGATAGAAAACGATTCACTTAAAAGTCAAATCGTAATCCTACAGAAAGATTTCAAATCTTTTCAAGAAGCTATGGACAAGAAACTCGCCAAATTGCCGCGTGTTTGCAACGATAAGACCGTCAATCTATCGGATAGCGAGGCAGAAAAAAGCCTTAACTTCCTCGGAAACCAAGTCGACGATATGAGTCGCTTCCGTGAGTTTGCCGAGAAAGAATTCAAACAACTAAATAAACGTCTCGAAGGAGTGGCAAAAAAATCAGCTGAACTTTCAGATGCCATAGATGATATTCAAAAGTACAGTTATCAGTACAACGTCAAACTTCTCGGTGTTCCCGAATGTAATGAAAGAGAAACAGCTGCCACGTCGACTGAGTTATGCGTTCGACTATTTAACGGAATGGGTGTAGAAGTAAAAGCCCACGATATCGATATAGCACATCGAGTCCCGCACAGAAATGCATTCGCTACAGGCCCGAAACCCATCGTCTGTAAATTCGTTCGAAGAGTGGTCAAAGATGAAGTTATTCGACAACGAAAAGAAGCGAGTAAAGTAAAATCTGAAGCCTTGGGCCTCTCGTCAGACGCTTCCCTTTGTAATGTTTTGGTCATGGAACATCTTACGCCGAAAGCACAAAATCTTCTCACCGAAGCTAAACGGTTCTCAAAACAGCATAACTTCAAGTTTTGTTGGGTGAAAAACGCTAAAATATACCTAAGAAAGAATGAAGAGAGTCGTCATATTTTCATCAACAATTTAAGTGATCTAGAAGGATTAAATGTGTCATAAACAAGATAAGTTCATTTAATGGTGTTAAAAAATTTTAACATGCCCTGTAACATAAATCAAAATTCCCTGACAGTTCTCCCTTTTAATCACCTAGATGATTGTTCTTTTAATATTGCATTGTACGAAATGGCTCATGGTCCACTGCACTTTGATGCGGACCGCCTCGATACCTTATTATTCAATCCAATTGACGAATCTCATTTAGATCACCTAACGCAGAATCTAGATCCGAATTTTAATTTTTCCGCGCTTTCTCCTACCAGCAGTTATATGGTTCAGGAAGAGGTCAACGCAATCCTTGAATCAAAACAAGAAAATGCTAGCTTTTCGCTCCTGCATGTAAATGCTCGTAGTTTGCTCAGTAGTTTTGATGATCTAAAATCTCTTGCAGCAAATAGTCGCCAATCTTTCACCGCAATAGGTATCTCTGAAACCTGGTTGAATGATACTACATCAGACAGAGTTAATCTCCCTGGATATAACTTTTTGTCCTGTCATAGAACTGCGAGGTCCGGCGGTGGGGTGGGTTTGTACTTGCGGAATGATCTTGAATACCGAATATGCTCGGAGTGTAACTTTTCAGATCCAAATATGATTGAGTCGTTGTTTGTTGAAATATTCGTACCAAATAGCAAGAACATTGTAGTTGGTGTAGTCTATCGATCACCAAACCAAAATTTATCTTTATTTTTGGATAAGTTTAATGAAATTCTTTCTACCATTTCAAAAAACAACAAGCACTGTTACATAATGGGAGATTATAACATAGATATGTACTTGCTTAAACGCGCATTCCGCAACTAATGAATTTGTCGAAAATCTGTTTTCCCATATGTACTTGCCTTTAATAAGTATGCCGACGCGCATCACAGCACATTCGGCAACGCTTATTGACAATATTTTTACCAACCATTTGACACAAAATTTATTCAGTGGAATTATTATTAATGACCTGTCGGATCATTTACCGGTCTTTGTTTATGTCTTTACAGAAACTCCTGCCCCTCGCAAAAGTGCTGAAAAGACCATATTTAGGGACTTTAGCGATAGCAATATTACCAAATTTCGTTCACATCTTACTAATGTCAATTGGGAAAATCTCCCTAATCAAGATGTAGACAGTGCTTTCGATGCTTTTCAGTATGAATTTTCTAGATTATATGATCTTAGCTTTCCTTCTAAATCAGTCAGAGCAAAAAACTCGAACAAACCATTAACACCTTGGATGACAAGAGGGCTATTAACCTGTGTTAGGAAAAAGAATAAACTCTATAAAAAGTTCATTATTTCACGAAGTCCTGTCAAAGAAAGACAATACAAAAAATACAAAAACAAGCTTACGCATTTGATTAAGATTGCTAAGAAAACATATTATGAGAATAAATTTGAAACTGCAAAAAACGATCACAAAACAACTTGGAAGCTAATAAACGAAGTAATTAATAAACGTAGAACAAAAACCTTACTGCCTTCCTCGTTTATATCAAATAACACCCTTCTCTCTGATCCTAAAGATATTGCTAACAGGTTTTGCAAATATTTCGCTAACATTGGTCCTGATCTTGCAAGTAAGATTCCTGAGACTTCAAACTCTTTTCTTTCTTTCCTAAATTCAAATAGCGAAGAATCTATTTCACTTCATCCAACAAATGTAATGGAGCTTTTAGAAATCTGTAACTCTTTTAAAACAGCTAAAGCTCCTGGTTATGATAATCTATCCATGTATGTAATCAAAAAATCTATTGACCTAATAGTACAACCTCTTGTTAATATTATAAATCTTTCTTTATCCAAAGGGGTCTTTCCAAGTAAACTAAAGATCGCTAAAATTATACCAATTTTTAAAACTGGAAATCAAAGTTTCTTTACAAACTATAGACCTATATCACTCCTGACAAACTTTTCAAAGTTATTTGAAAAAGTTATGCAAATCAGGTTAACATCATTCATTGAGCAATGTGAAATTTTGTATAGATTTCAGTTTGGTTTTCGTAGTGACCACTCTACTATGCATTCACTTGTTTCTCTAATAAATAACGTTGCCACGGCCATTGATCAGAACCAGATAGCTGCTGGAGTGTTCATTGATCTTTCAAAAGCTTTTGATACTTTAGATCATGAAATATTATTTACTAAATTACAACATTATGGTATAAGAGGCGTTGCACTACAATGGATCAAGAGCTATTTCTGCAATCGTGAACAATTTGTTCAATATAATGAAACCTGTTCCTCCATGAAAAAATTAAAATGTGGAGTTCCGCAAGGTTCTATTTTAGGCCCATTATTTTTTATTTTATATATCAATGATCTACCGAATGCATTAGAACTGTCAAAATCTTATCTTTTTGCTGATGACACTAGTATATATTATTCAAATTCGGATATCAAGCAACTTGAATTTGTTTTGAACAGTGAACTTCGAAAGCTAGATATCTGGATGAAGTCAAATAAATTGTCTGTGAACATCAGTAAAACAAACTATATCATTTTTCGGCCGAGACAAAAGAAAATTAATTTAAATCTAGTTATCCAATATAACAATCAAATGATCACCCAAAAACAATACATAAAATTTTTAGGAGTATATATAGACGAACATTTGTCATGGAAGGAACATATTAATTATATTTGCAATAAAATCGCCAAGTCTGTTGGAATTATTTACCGATCACGATATCTACTGTCATCCGCAACAAGATTATCCTTGTACTACACACTTATATATCCCTATCTTACTTATTGTAATATTGTATGGTCTTCCACTTATGTAACCAACCTCAATAGAATTCTCCTTTTACAAAAACGAGCTGTACGTATTCTTACAAATTCCGAACACCGTGCACACTCTGATCCACTTTTTAAACAACTCAAAATATTGGATATATTTAAGCTAAATACATTTCACATTGGCAAGTTTATGTTTTTATATCATCATTGCATGTTGCCAACATGCTTTGATAATCTGTTTACAATAAACAATCAAATACATGGTTATAACACCAGATCTGCCGGTAACTATAGATCTCATGCTTGTCGAACTAATATTAAGCAGTTCACCATCTTATACTCAGGACCGAATATTTGGAATTCTTTACCTACAAATATAACTGCGATAAACACAATCTCGTCTTTCAAGATGCAACTTCGTAATTTTCTGCTTAGCGAATAAGGAACAGCTAACTCTGATCAATATGCTACGACCATGTTTATCGAATATTCAGTAATAATATATAAAATTATTGGAAAATCTATTATATATTTTCGTAAATTTTCTCTCTTATTATAAACTTCATTATGTTTCAATTTCATTATATGTGTCTGTAATTTAATTTCAATTTTATATTATATATGTCTGTAACCCTAAATTATACCGATTAATTAAATATTTAACTTTGAATTTTTGAGATGAGGTGGCCTCTTTACACAAGCTCTAAGCTTCTTGAGGTCTCCTCGCCGACTTTATTTTATTAATATCTTGTAAATAGCTAACAGTCTTTCTTTTGTTTTGGCAAATAAATCAATCAATCAATGCGTAGTCTGCAGAAAGCTCAGAGGAAAACTGATGACACAACATATGGCTGACCTACCACCTGATCGACTAAACACACCGCCACCATTTACAAATGTTGGTTTTGATGTTTTCAGACTCTGGACCATACGTACAAGAAAACTACAAGGAGGAACAGCAAACTCAAAGAGATGGGGTCTGGTATTTACTTGCTTAAACTGTCGAGCCATTCATATCGAGATTTTAGAAACAATGGATACAAGCTCATTCATTTGTGCTCTGAGACGTTTCTTCGCTATTCGGGGACCACTATCAGTGCTAAGATGTGACAGAGGAACAAATTTTGTTGGTCGTAAATCTGAACTGGATGAAGCCATGAAAGGGATGGACCATAGAGAAATTGAAAAATATGTAATCGAACAGAAATGTGAGTGGATATTCAATCCTCACGCATCCATCATTATTTTGGGAGCGGAAAATTGCTACTATTAGACAAGTCCTGAACGGAATGCTCTCGGATCTTGGGCCTGCACAACTCACACACGAGCTGTTAATAACCCTTATGGCTGA